GCTCCATCCCTTTGCGACAGAAGGGGGGGGGAGGCTGGTGGGACACTGGCCTCCAGGTCGTGGCTCACTGCATCCTGCCCTGCTGCAGCCGTGGGGTGCTCCCGCAGCAGCTGCACTGCCTCGCAAGTGTGAGTCCTGCTGTGGGCAGTGTAAATGCACCAGCTCCTGCCTGGGCAGCAGCCCTGGGGTTTTCCAGCTGCGGAGGCCCCTGAGGACAAGGGGAGATCCCGGCCCTGCTCGGCCCCTCTCCCGCCAGACTGCCCGCCTGGGCGTGCTGGCTCCTCACTCAGCCCCACTTTGCCATCAGGGTTAATTTGCCCACTCCTGATTTTCCTGCTGGCTTTAGAGCGATTCCAGCTGCCACCCCAGGGCCGCATGGAGAGGGAAAGGACGATGACAGCCCTGTCAGCCTCTGGGCTGCCAGCACAGGGAGTGCTGCTGTGCAAAGGCAGACACTCAGCCGTGGCACCGCTCAGTGTACTGGTGCCACTGGCCGGGAGAGCGCAGTGTGCTGGTCCTGGGGGGGGAGGTTAGAAGGCAGCCAAGCAGTGAGCTGTGGGTGTCTCGGACTCACGTGGGCCCTGGGACATCCCCGTGGGGCTGGTGGGTCTTAGCTTGGCTGGCTGGCAGCCCTGTGGCTGCCATCCCACCCAGGCTCCTGCATGCTGGGGCGATGGCTGCGGCACGCTAGCCACCGAGCAGTTGCCTCGGGGGGCCCTTGAGCTCAGCTGCTCCCTCCCAGCCCCAGAAGGCATGCTGGGGGGACTTGTGGCTCCCTGCCCTGGTGCCCCTGGGGCTGCCCACAGCTCAGCTGCTGCCTGCTGTGGGGGGGGGCCCCAGCCGGAGCAAGGGAGATGCTGCTGGCTTCTCTCTGGGTGGAAGCAAGTGCCTGCAAGTGGCACTGCGTCCTCGGGAGCTCGGGCTGCTGGTCCAATCGCCTGTGGCTGCCCTGCTGTAGGAATGTGCCAGAGGTCTGTACCTTCTTGTGATTTATTGCTATGACCGTGCCTTGAATAAAATGACTTCACCCAGCCACTGCCTGGCGTCGTCACCCCCACGCACCCTGCCTGGCACCAGGAGAGGCAGGACCCTCGCTGCTGGAGCCTGCAAAAGTGCCCCAGCCCCTTTCCCCACCTTTGGGCTGCTTGTGACCCTTCTGGGGATGTCCTGCAGAGGCTTCAGGGGCAACGAGACCACTGGGACACCTTCCCACCTCCAGACACCTTGCTGCCCACATAGTCCCCACAAAAGCAAACCTCGAGTGGGCAGAAGCAGCAAAGGCACAGGAGCAGGGGAGCACCCTACTATGTCCCCTCGGAGAGGCTGGCACAGCCCTTGGCACCATCCTCAGCACTGGGGACAGGAGTGTCCCTCCCCTGCCCACCCTCTGCCCGTGCTTGTCCTGCAGGCAGGGCTGGCTCGGGACACCACCAAAGGGGCACACACTGCCTGGGGGGAAGCAGGAGGGCAGCCTGGGGCTCCTCTGGGACCACAGCAAGGAGCAGGGGCGGTGAGGGGAGCCCATCCCGTCTGGGGATGCAGCAGGAGATGTTCCCAAAGCTGAACCACCCACAAGCAAGTCCCAGGGAAGGGCCCGAACACCATTTTGGGAGCCGTTCTCTAGGTTTTGAGCAGACAGCGCTCATTTGCTCCCCTCCTCCCTCCCAAAGCTCACTCTTTATACCCAAATTCCTACTTGAATGATTTCACTCTGGTTTCAGTGGGTCCCTCCATGGTGCCCATGTGGTGAGGTCTGCCCAGCCGGCCTGGCTTATGGCACAGAGCAGGGGACCCTGCTCAGCAGGAGGGCTGGACTAGATGACCCACAGTGGTCCCTTCCAACCCCTACTATTCTGTGATTCTGTGATTCTGTGACATGAGGAGGGCTTACCTCTGGATGAAAAAATGGAAAATTTAAAAACCCACTCCCTTCATTACAACCCCCCACAGAGACACCACCCCCCCAGTTCATAATCAGGCTAAATGCAGGGCCTTGCTGGTGCTGGGGAGCCGAGGCAGGAGCCCTGGCTGGGAGTGAGGGCTGGAATTGCTGCCCCAGCTCACGGCTCTCCAGGCCCTGGCGCCGGGGAAGCTCGTCACAGCCTAACAAGGTTGTGAAAGCCCTGTCATGCTGCGCCTCGGCCACTCCAGCCCTCAGAAACCTGCTCGCCTGATTGCAGCCCGCGCGTACAAAAGTGCCTCACAGCTGGGGCTGAGCAATTGCACGGCCTCCCTGCTGCGCTGGCAGCCAGCACTGGGAGCATCCCCGCTGTGCTGGCAGGCAGCGGCCAAGGCAAAGGGGAGGTTTGTGGGAGCCAGAGCAAACCTCCAGGCTGGGAGCCGAAGCTGGGGGTGATGCTGGGGGTACCATGCTGGTCCTTCCCCGAAACGCTAGGTTTGGCCTCCCACCGCCAGCCCTGAGGCTGGCAGCTCTGCTCCAGACCAGGAAGAGCTGGAAAAATTTATTTTAGCTATGAACCACAGGGAGGATTTCTTTGCATTCAGATCTCCGCTGCCCTCCTCACCGTTCGCAGCCCATCACATTGCCCTGTAGAACACGCCCCACTGCCCAAGGCTTTCCCAGGATGCTCGCCACGCTGTCCTGTGGCAGCACTGGGATTTCCAGCCCTCAGGAGATGCTTCCTCCGGCTAGGGACCATTCTTCAGTTCCAAGTGCTCAACTCTCCCAGGGCTGGAAGCCCACCCAGCTAGAACGTGCCCCGGGAAGCGGGAGGCAGGACGTGCTGCTCCCTGGGGCAGGGCTGCCGGACGGCTCTGCAGTCCAGCTGGCAGGGTGGATGATGCCGCACGGAGCCTTTGCTGCGAAGCCATGCCCTGCTGCTGCAGGTAACCAGCAGTGGGTGAGCTGATGCCACCTCACAGAACAAAAGCAGCAGCTGAACAACCAAAAAGGAGGTTTTAGGCTGGTTGCTTAAAACTCCAGCTCCATTACAGACCACTAAACTTGGAGGGTAATGAGCAATCAGCAGCAGGACGCCTGTGCTAGCCCTTCTGCTGCTCACCCATTCAATTAAAGCACACAAAAGCTTGCAAAAGACATGTGGTGCTGGATGCCTTCTCGTGGCAGTCAAGCTCGACTACACAACTGCTCCCAGTGACCTGTATCTCCAAAGCCAGAGCCAACAATAAACCAGTAAAGCCCTCTCTGTAATCCTTTTTTTTTCAGCTTACTTTGGCCTTTTATATTAAAATAAACATAAGGCAGCCAAAAGGGCCGAGACTCACTGTTGTTCTTTATTAAACAGTACAGCTGGTTACAAGAGGCACACAGACTAGTTCAGTTCTCTCGGGAGTTACACAAAATGTGGTACAGAAGAGAAGTCAAGGAGCTGGGAAAGCTAGCAGGAGAGGGGATTGTTTGGGGCAGTAACACCCACACCCCACCCATCACACAGATGCCTACTTGTCACACAGAGCCAGAAGTTTCCCCCGTGACGCTGAAGGCTGATGCCCCAGAACAGAGCTGCGAAGAGGATGCCCCCACTCCCAAACCCTTCTGCCCCGTACCATGCCATCACAGCCACCACCTCCCTGCAGCCTCAGCTCCTCCATCCCTCACTGCCTGGCGCGAGAATGGGGAGGACCTCACCTAACCCAGCTAGTGGGGAGAGCCATGGGGCAAGGATGCACGACACCACGCTGTAGGACTGCAGGAGCGGAGCCTGGTACCACTGGGAGGACAGCAAGCATCCTACATGGGGCTGTTCACTGCCTGTTCCAAAACACCCCTCAGTTCCCCTCCCAAACGCAGCTGGAGGGCTCCTCGCTTGCTGGAAGCCCTTGGCCACCACCAGGCCTGGCAGCAGGGAAGCAGAGCCCCATCTCACAGGGCAGCCCATCATCCTCTCCGTCGCATGGGGCTGGGAAACCTCAACTGCAGCTGCGAGGAGCGGGCAGCCCTCTCCTCCCCCAGAGCGGAGGATGTCTGAGTACAGGAGCAGCGTGTCTCTAGGACACGACCATCTCAGCCCCCAACGCCAGGCTCCTCCTGCCCTGAAGGAGCAGCAAAAAAGGGCGCTGCCTGTAACCAAATACTTGCTCCATGTCCTCGCCCTGGGGCTAGTGATGGCTGGGAACATGGAACAACTTCCCCAGAAAGACCAGCTGCTCAAGTCCAACTCCTCCCTAGAGCCCTCAGGTGCTGCCTCTCAGCCATTTCCTGGGATTTCTTCTGGCAGATGCTGTCTGCTCACCCCTGTCCTGACACAGCACTGCTGCACACACCTAACAGAGCTCCTCGCCCCGCTCTGAGGCGGCTGCTTCTCAAGCATGGGCGGGATGGATTACTAACGGGTGAGGAGCTCTGCAGATGGGCACTGTGTGCAGCTGGGAAGTGCTCCAGGTCCTGACAGCATCAGCATAGAAATTCTCGCTATGCTTCCTCTGGCCAAGAGCCAGGATGATTTCTGGAAGCTGTTGCCATGACATGATTGCAACCTTCATTTTTATTTTGAGACATCGTTTACTTGTGTTTACTTCATTCTCCTTAACACAAAGCAGTGAAGAGCCACCACTGCTGCTGCGTTTCAGCCGGCTCCGAGGTTAAACCAACCGGCCAAGCCAACACAAAGCCTTTTGGCTGGCAGTCCAGACCTGCTAAAAGCAGCTTCACCTCGGGATGAACGTGACCCCACTGCTTGAGCCATCCCTAGGAAACACACCCAGTTGTGGCCAACCTGACATGAGGAAAAGCCATGGATCCCATCCAGGGGAGAGGCAAGGCAGAAGAGAGCACCAGGATTAACCATCGGTAGTGACACGCGGGTGAAGGGAGTGGGGGGAAAAGCTCACCGCGAGGCTTGGGGCGGACGGACGCACGGCACGGCCAGCTCCCACCTCTGTTGCCCCCACCCCTGGAGGGAGCCAAGGCTGCCATGGCCCACGCAGCCGAACCGGGCACAGCGAGGAGCGAGCAGTGCCAGACCTGGCAGGTCTCAAGCATGGCAAATAGGTGCTCCGGAACATAAGCCCAAGAGGCTTACACTAGCTGTCATGTAACTAGGAAGGAGGGAAGATGAGCCAGCTAAACACCCGCGCAGGTACGTGGGCACTGGTGCTCCAGCTAGCCTGAAAGAACCTGGTGCAGGGCAGCGTACCTGTGCTGCGGCGCTCCGAGGCTTCGCTGCAGAGAAATTCCCCGCCAGCCCTTGGCAAAGGCAGAGATGTGGTTGTGTCGAAGCAAGGCAGAATCACTGGGAGAGCCCCGAAGCACACATGACTGGAGGAGACAGCGATGGGCTGGTGCACGGAGAAAGACAGAGGTGGAGAGAGGCAGAGAGTGCAGCGTGAGCGCTCCCCCTGCCCGGGACCGCTGCATGGTCAGGGATGGGGAAGGCTGGCACGGTCTAGTCCCCCTCTGGAAGGGTCTCCCAGCCGCGCCGCATGGCTTTCACCACAGCACCGTAGAGTTTGCTCCACGCCTCCCTCACGTCTGGGCTGAAGGCAGTGCCCAGGCATTTCTCCAGCATGTACAGCAAGGACTCGCCGACAGTCTGCAAACCAAACAGGGAGGTGTCAAGCTCGGCACCAGGAGATGACATGCAGCCCCTTCTCTTGCTCCACCACCTTTTTGGACATTTGCAGGGCAACTGCTCCTCTGCCAGTGGGGCCAGCCCTCCCCCATCCCTGGCTGCTCAGAGGAGGCCCAGGGCCAGCCCACGCCATCCCCTTCCCTCCCCCTGTGCAGGCCCTCACCCCACACCCTGGGCGAGTGGGGAGTGCAGGCAGGGAGCAAGGGCTGACACTGCGCATGTAACGCCAGGGGAGGGGTACACGTCCATCCTCCATGGCTCCCAGCCGCTGGCAACCAGCACTGTCCCCTGGCACAGCGGTGGATCAGCAGGGCTGAGCAACGCCCTGGTGCCAGGAGAGCGGGTCAGAGCCCAGGCTGGATGCTCAGGGCCTGCCTCACCGCCTCTCGGGCCTCTCCACAGGGCACTGCTCCTCGCGGAGCTGTGAGCAACCCCACCCAGGAGCATCCACGCACTGAGCGCAGGGCTGGTGGGGATCACCTCCCTGGGCAAAGGGGACCCTGCTCCCTCTGAAGAGGACCAAAGCCAGTGGTATCGGGAGGGAGCCATGCGTTGGTTAGAAACTTTTCCTGCGACCCACCCTTCCCCACTGCGTTATCCAGCATTTCTGTCCGTGCTTGATGGCAGGAGAGGAGTAAGCAAGGGTTGAATGTGGAGGATGCTCCTGTCTTACTGCCATGGAGGAAGCAGGGGCTGAGGTGCAGCAACCCCACGCAGTGCAGACACAGACAGAGGTGGATGCTCCCTCTCCCTGGTGCGGCGAGGTCTGCCCGGAGCATCTGATGCAGAGGTCCAGGGCTCAGGGCAAAGGCTGAGCCTGCAGCCCTGTGTCACAGGAGAAACCGCAGTGCCTCAAACTGGGGTCCTCTTCAAACAGGGGAAACACCTTGCTCCCCTCTGTCTTCTCTGCCTGGGCTTACTGGGAGAGGGCAAAAAACAAGCGGAGCTCAGGTGTTTCCCTGATCAGCCCAACGTCACTACACAGGTATCAGCAGCTGGGGGGCTGCCCTGAGCCACCAGCTTTCTCTCCAGCCAGCTGAACCCAGCAGGTCAGCACAGAGGGATGGGGACAGCCGACAAGGCTGCACAAACACAGCCGCAACAGGACAAGAGAGGACGTCTCACCGAAAAAGACTCAACCTTCACACCGACTGCCTGGTGCTTCTTGCCGAGGTTGCAGAGATACTCCTCCAGGCAGGCCAAGTTCTCCAGGTGGCTCACAGCGGCATCGATCACCAGCATCACCTGCAAGAGCACAGAGCCAGAACGGCATTAACAGAAAGGCTCCACTGCCCTCCCGGAGGAACGAAGAGTCCAACACCTCTCCTTTGCCCTTCTCAGCCTGACCACCTCCCAGCCCAGCACATTCCCTCTGAGCTTTCCTTTGCTCTGCTGCGATCTGTGTGTCACACCAGCGAGGCGTTCTGGCAGCAGCACATGCCACATCCTTCCATGGGACACTGCCAGGGGTGCCACAGCAAGGAGCACCGCTGCCCACCCTGTCCCAGAGGGGGTCAACAGCCCTATAGCACAGCAGTTATCAGCTAAGATCTAACACTGATGCAGTCATTGCAGCTCTTAGGACCCCAGGACAACTGCAGGGCAGCCCCAGAAGCTGCCAGGATTAGAGCTGCCAACCAGAAGCTGCCAAGATGGTGCAACTGTGCATAAGGCAACTCCAATTCTAAGATCAGCCAAGGTATTTTGAAGAGATGGGGTGGATAGTACAGCTAAGAGACCTGGTCTGGCAAAGCCCGTACCACCATGGTCTCCCAAGAGCATGAGGAGTCAAACGGAAACAGGACAGACAAGGGTTAATGAGGGGAAGAAGGGAACAGACACACCAGATTAGAAGAAGAGATTATACCCAGGGCACCATTAGCTTGGCAAAGCCAAGAGGTGATAGGATTGTGCTCTATCATTTCAACAGGGAAATTATCTCCAACAAGAGCAAAGAGCTATTTCAGCTCAAGGCAACAGTAGCAGAATTAAAAACCGACCTAATTTTGCCAATAAACAGAGGCTGGAAAATAACAAAAAGCTTGCAGCTATCAAAGTAGTGCAGTCCTGAAACAGCCTCTTATGAGGAATGAAGACAGGCAAGCGACGCACCAAAGTGGTTTGAAGATGGAGCCCAGCAGTTTATGACAGCATCTGCAAGCCAAGGCTCTGCTCTGCCCCAGCGTGGCCACTCCTCAGGGCTCAGCAAAGCGTCTCTGCTGCGCTGGGTGTAATTCTGTCCCCGTGCCTGCTCCTCCAGACGACACCAGCACTGCTCCTCTCCTTGTGGCGGGGGGAGGCGGGTGCATATCGCAGCACTCCCCCAGAGGCTATCCAAGAGATGCCATGAGCCTTCTGGCTCTGCGGCCACAACAACAGCCGCTCCACCAGCACTGGGCCCTGCTGCCCAGCTCTGTCACCTCCTGGTCAGCGTGTGGCCAAGCAAAGGACTCAGTCCTTGTCTGGACGGAAGCAAGCTCACCGAGGCACTTCCACAGTAGGAGGGAGCTTCCAACTTTCACAAAAGGCAATCCACTCTCTGGCGAGGGCGTGGGAATCAGCGTGGTGCTTCTTGTCCACCACAACCTGCATCGTCATCCCCTCCCCACTGTCGTAGGGCACTTGGTCCTGGCAACCGCACCTTCTGCTAGCACGAGTCACCCCTCGCAGTTACCATCTTGGGAGGAGACTTCCCATGCATTCCCCAGTCGGACACCCCGCAGTCCCAAGGCATTGCCTATGGGCTCCGGCCATGCCGTGCCCGTGGCCCCTCTCTCACCTTCCTGACGTGATCCAGGAACTCGGGGGCAGAGAGGCACTCCTGAGGGCTGGCAAACTGCTTGCAGTTGTACTGGAAAAGGGGCAACAGGTCAGGGTCCAGGTCAAACAATCTGCAACAGCAAGAGAAAATCTTCCATCTTCTCACTTCCTCAGCTTTACTTGGAGTCCTGTTCACCCCAGGAACAACCCCACCAACAGCACACCCGCAGCCCCCTCCTGCCTCCATCCCCACCTGTAAAGGACCCAGAAGTTCTGAAAAGCCTTGGTTCGGGCCAATCCGGGTCACCTATAGTCAAAAAAGTCTCCATCTCCCTGGCTGACAGCCCCAGCTCTCAGATAGGTGTTTCTGGCACCTGAGGACCAGTTCCAGCTCGCCGGTGTCCACGCTGGAGTCCAGCTCTTTTCAGCCTGGCCCTGCTCCCCGAAGCCTTGGCTGTTGTCTCAACTCTTCCTACTCCCGCTTGACGATCCCCTCGAGCCCCAGAGCTCCCGGAGCCGCGGCAGGCCTGCAGCCTCCAGCAGCCAGCTTTCCTGCGCGAGCGAAGGGG